TCTTCTTGAAAGCAAAGAAGAATTTCTGGATGTTGTTCTGAAGTTGACCAACATTTTTTAAATGACGTTTATTGATGACCATTGTGTTTTGCTTACAGAAGGTCTAAAAATGCCAAATATGATCCCAAGGGCAAAAACTGTGGGGACTACACTGCTGTCAGATTCAGGTTAAGCACTGGTCCAACTGATCAGGAAGGATTTCACATGGAATTTACTTAGGGTTTCAAATACTTTGTAGGGGGCAGTTTTGAATTAAATTAATGACATTTTTATTCTGACTGATTTGAGTTACTACTCAGTTTTATTAGTCTTGCTAGTTACAAGTGCATCGTTTCTTCCTTGGTGGATATGTCCTCTGGAAGGCAGATCTCTAGCACAAACATGCACCTACATACATACTAACATATGGCATCCCACAGTTGACATACTGTCAACTACCAGACCTGCATTGGAAAGTACTAGCTAATTTTGTGCTTGAGAAGCTTACCTGCATGAAAAATTCAAAACTGGGAGTTAACACTACATTTTAAAACTACTGGTTAGATTTATGATTGTACAGCTCTGTACAAACTTGTACTGACCTGATGAGGAGATACACATACAAATCAATTCTGCAATACAGCCCAAGGTCACACGCATGGCCTATAATCGCCTGTCAAAATTCCAATTCAGCCCTGAAGCTAATTTCCTGGTGACTTGAAAAAGTTTATGACAATTTTGCAAAAAGAAAGTTCTTGGAATAGCTGCTATTGGCTCTAGCATTCCCCCAAAGCCTTTCAGTTTGTTACTGTCATTATCTGTGTTTATTTTAAATGGATACCATGCTAGATCATAGGTTATAAAAATATAAACAAATAAATATATTAGCATTTTCGCTAGCGTTTAAATCAGCTTCCCTACAGCAACATATTGCTAGAAGTATCATAACCAGGAGCGTGCTATAGATGTGTTTAACCTGTAAGGAAAAAAAAAAAAAAAAAAGGTCCACTTGGCAGAGGGATAGTCATTGCTGCAAGTGTTTTAATTGGCAGATGGGGATCTACGGAGAAAAGGTGAAGAGATGAAAGAGCATAGTTGCCAGGTCTTCTTCCACGTGGAAAGGAAGCAAAACTCCAGATCTCAGTGGGGAAATGAAGCTGTAGGGGTATCTCAGAATTTCCACTCTGCATTGATGTCAGAGTCTACCTAGTTTACTCAAAGGCTCCGCACTAACTGCCATTATTTTGCTTTGAATTAACTAACATTCCACCCTGGGTTGCGATTCCAGCTACAGACAGTTATAGGGGCACCTGAGGCGGCTCCCGGGCCTCCCGCCACCCCGACGCCCTCC